TACACTGGGGATTGACTGGAGTCAATATATCCCTACTACAGTTGAGAAATCTTATCCTAAAGGTGTATAAAGTCAGATAAATATGTAACGTAATAGGGAGAGACAAGCTAAAGACTGTGAACGATGTTATTTGTCTAATAAACCAGTGTTTAAGTCCAGATCTGATTCTGATGTCAGGCCTCAATAAATCAAGCTTATCTTTGCACGTCAATCTTGTGCTTTTAAGATTGCTTTAGGACTTCTCGTGGCTTCCCTTAGAAGATACAAGCAAATGATACTTCTGAAGTCAACACTTGACTATTAAAATGCTTCTGAAATAACACTTTTTTCCCTTTAGTATGATATAAATGAGTAAATTGGCTTTTTTGTTCATCTTTATGGAGAATGGGGACAGTATAGGCCAAGACAGAATGGGTCTCTTAAATCTACTGTGCCTGTCTTCAGATGTAGTGCCAGGTTAAGGTATGCCATCTCTTGTTCCATCCTTCAACAGTCTGAAGCATGTGGAAGATTTGACTGCTTCCTGCCAAGCAGGGTGCAGATACACAAGGGAAAGCAGGAAGGTGGGGTGGGAATGAAGGGTAAAAATAATATGGCTAAGCTTCCAGGCAGGTACTGTATTTATTCTAGACCCTGTCAGGGGAACCAAGGCATATAGGGTGATGTGTGCCCAGGTCTTGCCCTAACAGTGAGCTGGGGCAAACACTGATGCTGAGCAAGATCTCAAACTTGAGTGTAGCTGTGATGGACTTCCAAGTTGTCTGTCCCTTGTATACTGGACATGACTGTTATTTATTAGGTGTTTTAATGCCTGCTGGTGACAAGTGATTCTTGAGGGTTGTACCCTGAAAACTCCAGGATCAGGCATAACTGTGGAGTTATCTTGAGGGAAGCATCTTTGAAGATGGGTGTCCAAGTGAAAGAGACCCCTCTCCTCTCCTCAGGTTGCACAAGACCTTACCGAAAGCTGCCACTGTCAGTGGGGATTTATCATCTGTTGGAGTGGGCACAGGCAGGTAGCCAGAGGACATTGGTGTTGGGGTGACTGGATTTGAGGTGCCTGCAAGAGGGAAAAAAGAAGCTTTATGTAAAGGGCTTTCTTCATGGTTAGGAAGAGGATTCCTAGCAGTGCTAGAGGACCTAACTCGCACTTGAAGAGAATAATGAGGGATCCTGACCACCTGCTTCCATGTCAACAGCAAAGTGACCAAGACCTGAATAGGAGTCAGGTTGCCTTGGTGTGGTTCCTTTTGTGAACAAACTGAGAACCTCCACAGGGTTTTCTGCAGGGTCCCCAGTAAGGAATCATGAAATAGCACTGGTTGGAAGAGATCTTCAAAGGTCATCTAGTTCCAGCCCCCCTCAGGAACCTGAGCATGAAACCATTCTATGATTCTATATGTTTGTGTGGAGAGTTTATCCTATCTCCCTCCTGCTATAACCTTTTGCCATAGAACACCTTTCCTGATGTAAATCACAACCACTGCTCCCAGGCTCAACAGGTTGCCCTAAAGTGCTGCTTCTGTGGAGCTTTGCAGGTTTTTCAAGGGCTAAATGGGATGGTGAGCATCCCTCAGGTACTTGCTGGCTGTTCACCATGCTGCCCTGAAGATAGCATGATGGGCTTGCTGTTGGCTATGTAAAGGGCTATAAAATATCTAGTGGTAATTACCTCCCTGTGAGAGAGTGGAGGAAGCACCTTGAGTTACTGATGCTGTGGTACTCTTGCTTCTCGTGGGCTCTTGATCTGCATAGAGAAACACGGAATGTGAGTCTTGTCCTTGAGCATCATCTCATAACCAAAAGAATTAATGGGCGTGCTGGAGAGGAGAATGGATTCATGGTAATGCTGGCAATATCTGAGAATATATGGAGTTTATAATCAGGCTACAACCTTCCCACCAAAAATACTTTGTACTATTTTCCATGTCCAAATAGAAACTCGGGGAACGAAAATTCAAATACCCCTGTGTTAACTCATCAGCTTCTGCGGCCCCTGATGCAGTTTTGGGGCAGAGAGAGCAACTGAATACTGAGAGAGTGAATTGGGAAGGTTATAGATCTGCTATTGCTCATGAACACTGAGATTTTGGGGAAGAAATTCTGCAGAATATGGGTGTGAATTGACTGTTCAGCTTGCCCTTTCACTTGGAATTAGTGGATATGTTGTCCTGTGTTACCTACAAGTAATGAAGCTAGTTTGAGTTACACCATCTGTGGCAGTGTGGAGGTTGGTTTGAGCAAGGACTCCAGTTCTCAGTGGGATAAACTGGCTAATATGAGGCTGTTTGGGTTGTGCCAGCTGCTTCCAATCCCTCTGCGAGCAAATGTAAAGCTAGCCTGTGTGTCTCACTTCTACAAAGAGAAAAAAAGTCCTTGTTGCCTCCTGGATGTGTGTGGAACTGCCAGATTGTCTGCATGGACCTTATTCAGCAGCTACAGGCCCTGTCAGGAGACTAAAAATGATGCTGGAATGTTTCAGAAGATCATCTGTAGGTCAAGTAGGATCTTCTTTCCTCCTTTCCTGTCCCCATTTCTCAACAGCAGCATTGGCCAGAAGTATGTGATGCCTGGAGAAGCGTGAAGCAGCTCCTGGCACTGCACCAGGCACGGTGTGCGGCTGAACTGGGGTTCCTGGCTTGCACAAAGCCTCGCTGTTTTGGAATGCAGCTTTGCCAGAAGTCAGAAGGAAAAAGGGAAGTGCTATGTAAAGGGGAAAGGGTATGCAGTAACACGTCTAACTGGCTCAGAAACCACGTGGAGAACAGCCCTGAGAAGCAGGGGCTGCTGCTGTGTGGTTTTTTCACCACTCATCAAACTCTGTTTCATTCTGGAATTGTTCTTCTCGCCACAGGTGGTGGGCAGAAGCTATGGTTTGCTGAGTCTGACATGGATACCCCATCCCTGGGAAATGGTGAGTCTCACGCAACAGGAGATCTCACTTTTGGAAGCATCTGTATAGTCAAAGATGTATGGAGCTTCTCAGGTGTAAAGCAGGGTTATAATTAATAGCAATCTGCTCTGCTGCAAGGGGCTCTTGGCTTGGCTGGGCACAGGCATGCTGGTTGGACATCTGTGCAGGCAGAGCTGACCACAGGTTTTTAACCTTGCCTGCAATGGAGAAGATCTGACAGGGGCTTGGAGGGGCAGAACACTTTGTCTTGACCACTGCAGGCTTTTTTTGAGGCTGAATCTTCAATGGGGAATCAGCTCAGTTGGCGAATTCCAGTCTTCTCCTCCCTTGGGTTCTGCTCTTATTCTGAGAAAGCTCTCACTGAATGCTCAGGTTTGTTTTTTTTTTGCTTACAGTTTGGGTTAAGCAAACTGTCAAAAGCAAAACTATTCTTTTTAGAAGGATGTTAAAGGGGCTCCCTCTTCTAAGCATAGATCAGTCTTCCAGCTGTTCAAGTTCATCCCAGGTGAAAGACGTTAAGTGCACTTGGTCCTCTGTTTTATCACTGCTTGTAGGGATACCAGACATGATTTTGGGTGTTATTGGTTGCTGGACCCCAAGCTAGACTAGTGCTGAGGTAACCTGCACCATGTGAACCAGGTAATCACGAAATGATCTAAACTTACTGTTACTCTATAAAAGGACAAAGTACCTTGAGATGGTGAAGTTGCTGTGCTTCTGCTTCCAGTAGACTTTTCATCTGGGTGAAGAAAACATGGGAAAAGGAGAATTAACTCTTTAAGCTGCTACTGATTGTGCTATGGAAACCTGTTTGGTTTCTATAGAGTAAAAAAAGCTTTGTCTGCATGAGGCTTCCCCTCCAAACTAGTGTCAAGATGTCCAGCTAGCAAGCTGTGCAGTTATTTTGGAGAGTGTACATGGGAGGTGAGCTTGGGAGAGGTCTGCTGGGGAGCCTGTAGCTCCTCCACAGGCTATTACCTGGTGACTCATGATCTGGCTCCTCTGATACGGGCTTGCTGAGTAGCTGCCACGTCTAGGTAGCACTTCTGTCCAGCCCCATGCTTCTGGGGAGCTGGAGTGAGCTGCTCTGTTAGCAAAGACTCAGATTCAAAATTGCTGCTACTGAGTAAGTAGCATATCATGGACTAGCCCAGTCTTTCTGATGCCTCCAGTTTTGCTTGGATAAAGAGGGATACACACACAGGTCCTATCTGAGCAAAGTTTAGAGCTTTCCATGCTTACCTTGCACAGTTGATGTTAGTAGCGGTGTCATGAAGGAAAACAACTTGGCTGTAGTAGCTGGACCCACAGAGGTGATGTTCAAGTCAGTTGGTGGTGTTGATTTTACTGAAGGCTCTGTAGAGGAAGCGTAGTGTAACTTCAAAGGGTTCTGCTCACCTCAAGCTCTGCTCAGAAACAACTTGGAGTGGGGTATGGCTATTGCAAAGAGTCCTCAAGCTCCTTGGGAGCTATGGATAACTGCTAGGAAAGCATGGGCAGATTTCCTTGTGTAGAGAAGGAAATAGCCTTTGTCCTGCTCAGAGTCAGGGACCTCTTGTGCTTTGGCATTAGCTCTTGTTTTTTTAGAGTATGGAGATGCTGAGCTCACAGAGCTCAAGAGGCATGTGGAGAAAGGCTCCATTTTGCCACTGTTTTTTTCCTGCTTTGAAGATGCAGGTGTTCTTATCACTGGACACTTGATCTAGCTGCTGCTCCTGATGTATTTGCTTGCTTGTTACCTGAAATACCAACTCCTGTGTTTTGTTTCATGGAGAGTCTCTTAAGCACAATAATTCAGCTCTGGAAGCTCTGCCATCTTCCTCAACCTGCTACTCCAAACTCCGTAGCATGAACATGATCCAGAGATATGGGGGGAGAGGGGGAAGCTTTCAGTAAGCCCTTTGCAAGGAAGAGTGGATCACCAGCTTGGAATTTATAGGGAAATCCCATCTAGACTGCTCTTGGCTTTCCAATAAAAACACAAAAAGAGTAAAAATGGTTGTTTTTTTGGTTTTTTTTTGAGGGGGTGGTGGGGTTTTTTCTTGTTTGTTTTTGTTTTCCCTGTGTGGGTGCTGAGGCGCTGGCACAGGGTGCCCAGAGAAGCTGTGGCTGCCCCGTCCCTGGCAGTGTTCAAGGCCAGGTTGGACACAGGGGCTTGGAGCAAGCTGCTCCAGTGGGAGGTGTCCCTGCCTGTGGCAGGGGTTGGGACTGGATGGGCTTTAAGGTCCCTTCCAACCCAAACCAGTCTGGGATTCCATGATGATTCTGCAAATTAGAGCTAAGGCAGTATTAACCTAATGACTCTGCTTCTCCCTATTCAATTTAGGGATTTTTTTCCCCTGTTCTTACACCTGTACCTTGATCCCTTTAGAGCGAGCTGGCTGGGTCAGAAGCCCTTATATCACAAATTTCCTTCTTCCCCACCTCTGTCCTTATCTAACCTGCTGCTGCTGCACAGCCCCATCTATTGCTGGATGGCCCAGCCAGGCTGAAGGTCAGAACAGTTAGAAGCCAGGATGCCCCTGAGCCACGTTCTGAGGTCTCCAGGTGAGCATTACCTGAGGTATGGTTCTTTACTTCAGGGCTGTTTGTTGTTGATTGGGATTGATCTGTAACACAAGCAGAGAGACATGGAGGTGATTTCTCCTATGCATGCTCCTTGTTAATGGGCTCCCCATGGGGAGAGCTGAAGGATGGTCCAGAAAGGGGCTGTTGTAGACAGTGACAGCTGAAAAGGTGCTGGAAACAAGAGATAGGAATGGGAGGGTTTGTCCCTGGTGTGGCTATAGGGATGTGGATAAAGGAACCTTGGCTCTGGGGATCCATGGAGGAGAGTGTGTTAACTGCTAAGAAATGGGCACGGTGGCTTCCATGGCCCCTGGAGATCTGGGGGTGGTGAATGATAAGTGGGGCAGGCAGAGGTGGGCAGTGCAGGGTCCTTGGAGAATGGCCTTCAGTGGGTGGGAGTTCCTATGTAAGGGTGCTCTATTTGCATCCCCACATGGGCATATGCATGCACATCCAAATAGACATATAAGCTGATCCCAACCCAGGAGGTACCTGTAACAGCTTGGACAGAGGACTCTGTGGAGGCTGTAGTACCTGCAATGGAAGAATAAGAGTATTAGCAGAGCTAATCTGTGACTGTCACTAATGCACTGGTGTTCTTGCTGGTTGTATGGTTTGGGGTTTCCTCACCTTCTGTAGTATTGACTTTAAAATAATGTATTTCCCCAAAAGCATTAGCAAAGGAGTAGTAGCAAATACTGAGTGCAAAATTGCGAGGCTCTGAATAAGTTAGGACTGGAGTTCATTCAGCCAGGATAAATGCCCTCCTCCCCACATGGAGCAGGACCCTTCAAGGAGATGTCATCTTCTGCTGTAGGGGAAATGCAAGGCCATATTAAATCAGTGGGGTCGTTTGCCCCTCCATGAGCCAGGGATGGGGCATCCACAACCTCTCTGGGCAGCCTGTGCCAGTGCCTCACCACCTGCAACATCCCATTTGTTACCAGGAGCCAGTGTGGGTGATGAACTCTGTGGTAGTCACTGTGCTGTAGGTGTCTGAAAGAGGCCTTTTGACTGCCCTGGCAGTGGTGTGTGTCTGGGATGAGATATTCAGCATCCAGCCTATGTGGGTTATCAGGGCTTGGCTCAGAGCTCACCCCTTGGGACTGTCTGGGTGTAGTGAGCTCCTGATTGATCTCATTCTTCTCATCTAAGTGCATTGGAGCTGTAATTGTTTTTTTGTCTGAGGCTTTATGACAATGATCCCAGCCAAACAGGAACCAAAACAGTGTGTAAACACCAGTGAATACATTATAAAACATGGTCTCTTTCCAGATAGGATTTGGCTGTGAAAACCAGACCTGACTTTTCAGATCTTTCCCATACTTTTCTGGCTTACTAGCAGGCAGAACTGTCTAGTTTAGTTGATGAGAGACAAGGCGTGATCAAACCTTAAATTACAGAGAGAGGAAGGGACTGATTTGTTTTCTAAATCCATTTGGAACAGGCCCAGAAAACAAGGACTTTTAACTGCAGCAAGGAAAAGGGAGGCTGGGCAATAGGAAACTGCCTTAACGTAAAGATAGTGAATTGCTGGGAGTGATTGTGTAGGAGAATTGTAGGATATCCTTCTCCACAGGGTTTGAAGGACATGTTAATGAGCATCACTTCAGTAACATAGACAGGTTTATGGGTAGATGTAACCTCACTTACTAAATCAACTAATATAGTGGAGAAAAAGATCTTTCAGGGCACACAGTTGCCCTTCTTAAAGAGATAGAGAAGCTCTTTTTGAGGGAGGGGGATGCATCCCTGTTGCCTGGGAGGCTGTTGGGCACTGCTGCCTCCCCAGTGCTCAGAATGTGATGACTTGGGGTGTTTCCATTGATACTGAGAGTTTGCCAAGTTTTCTTTGTTGCTGGGCTTCCTCTTCTTAAATAGCATTGAAACTCAATTTCTGGATGTTGGTTTCCAAATGCCATAGGATACTCTATACATTCAGCACACAACATAACATGCTGAGATCATCATGGGAGCCAATATCCTCTAGCAGCTGCCAAACTCCAACAGCTCCTCTTTCTCCTGAATTCTCTTGCAGAAGCCATTGTCTTGTTTTTCCCATGAGAAGTAGCTGCTTGTAACACATTTTCTTCTTGAAATTATCACAGGTGCTTTGTTTTAGTGTCCATGGCACATGAAAGCATCCAGAATAGCTCAAGCAAGAGCTATTGTCTACACTTAGGCTTTGTCAAAGGAAGAGGTGAATAAAGGTGCTGGGCTGGCTGCTTATTCCACTATTTTTGGTGCAGTTGAGGAGAAAACTGGGAGCTTGAACAGAGCCTCTAGGGATGGGAAGAAGCTGAGGGCAAGGAACATGACATTGGCATGTATGGCCATCCCTGGTGGGGCTATCCCATGGGCTAGCTCCAGTATTCCTGGGGTAGGGCTAAAGGAAGAGGCTCATACTCAACACTTTCTTCCTCTGCAGCTCAGCCCCTCACTGCAGGTCACACCAGAGCACTGGCTCATTGGAGTTCTCCCTTTGCAAAACTAAACCTGGGGGTTATTGTGAATAAGATTTAAAAGCAGGATTTCTGAACTAGCTGATCTTAAGGTCCTTTCCAACCCTAATTATTCTATGATTCTAGGATCAGTTCTTGACATTCACCTGGCCAAGTATGTGCTCACCATTGTTTGCCACATTTGAGCTTTGCTGTGAAGAGGCCGAGGGATGGAATCCTAGAGATGGATCATAGAGATCCCCCTTTTGGCACTTTACTTGGGAACAAATGGTCCTGGCTTCTCTAATCACAACCACTGTTATTTCAAAGTGGAGCAGGTCTGGCTCTGACTTCTGGCCACTGCTGCTTGTTATGCCTGCCCTGCCAAATCAAATAATCAAAAGCTCTATTCTATTAGGTGTTTTCTTTTGGTGAGGGTGCTTAGCATCCTGGTGGAATAACATGGGAGGGGGATATACACGTGCAAAGCAGGAAGAGACACGAGCCATGTCGTGGGGCTGGGCAGCAGGATGGGTACCAACAGCGCCACGCGTCACGGCTCCCTGCAGGCATCCCTGGAGACTGTCGTGCAAACGGGGCTGGAAACCATTTCCTCCGAGTGCTGCTGCCAGCACAGCCCCTGCTCCCATCCACGGCGGGCCCTGGCTGTATAAACAGCTAACAATAATAACCGGGATGCAGCCAGCGCAGCTGGAATTGCAATAAACATCAAAGCCATTCAAAGGATTCGCCATTGAGCATAAGCATGGCCAAGATATTTGTTGCTTGTTTGGGTGCAAGTGATTTATAGCTAGGTCGTGCAGTTCTAGGTGGAGATGGGGAGTTTGCAGAGGGATTTATGATGGGAAGCACAGATTTCTGCTCTTGCTGGAATGGGAAACTCCTGATTATTGGGACCAGTCTTGTTCAACATCTTCATCGCTGACATGGACAGTGGGATTGAGTGCGTCCTCAGCAAGTTTGCTGATGACACCAAGCTGTGTGGTTTGGTTGATAGGCTGGAGGGAAGGAATGCCATCCAGAGGAACCCTGACACGCTTGTGAGGTGGGCTGATGCCAACCTCATGAAGTTTAACCATGCCAAGTGCAAGGTCCTACACCTGGGTCGGAGCAATCCCAGGCACAGCTACAGGCTGGGCAGAGAAGAGATTCAGAGCAGCCCAAGGAGAAGGACTTGGGGGTGCTGGTCCATGAGAAAATGAACATGAGCCGGCTTCAGTGTGCGCTTGCAGCCCAGAAAGCAACCGTATCCTGGGCTGCATCAAAAGGAGTGTGACCAGCAGGTCGAAGGAGGTGATCCTGCCCCTTTACTCTGCTCTCGTGAGACCTCACCTGGAGTATTGTGTGCAGTTCTGGTGTCCTCAACATAAAAAGGACATGGAACTGTTGGAACAAGTCCAGAGGAGGCCACGAGAATGATCAGGGGACTGGAGCACCTCCTGTATGAAGATAGGCTGAGAAGGTGTGTGGCAGAGCCTGGAGAAGAGAAGGCTGCGTGGAGACCTCATAGCAGCCTTCCAGTATCTGAAGGGGGCCTATAGGGATGTTGGACTCTTCATTAGGGACTGTAGTGATAGGACAAGGGGTAATGGGTTAAAACTTAAACAGGGGAAGTTTAGATTGGATATAAGGAGGAAATTCTTTACTGTTAGGGTGGTGAGGCACTGGAATGGGTTGCCCAGGGAGGTTGTGAATGCTCCATCCCTGGCAGTGTTCAAGGCCAGGCTGGACAGAGCCTTGGGTGGCATGGTTTAGTGTGAGGTGTCCCTGCCCATGGCAGGGGGGTTGGAATTTGATGATCTTAAGGTCCTTTCCAACCCTAACTATTCTATGATTCTATGATTATCCACAGGGCTGCACAGGAGTGCATCAGAGCTGCAGGTGCATTTCAGCTTGGTGCTAGCTGCTTTTGGGTAATTTTTTCAATAGGATGAGCAGGGGAATGTTGGATTTCTGTTACTTGTAGTAGTTCCACGAGATCAGATGTGAGTGTTAGAGCAGAGAGGCCTCTCCGTGGGATCTTCTCTCACAGTGGTGTTCCCAGGGCTCACCCCACTTGCTCCTCAGCACAGAAAGAGAATGATGTAAACCAACAGGAAGGTGAATTTTACATATTTCTGCTATGGTATTATTCTTGGCAATCACAGACATTTAAAGCATGGTTTCTCCAGCTGCAGACCAAAGAGAGGCACTGACATTTAAACTCCCAGATGTTGTCAGAGCCTCTATAGCAGCACTGCTGTAGCAGAGACCTGGGCCAGCTCTTGGGAATGCTTCAGCAAGGTTTGGGTCCAGCTTTGGGAAGGCTTGTGCTGTCCCTTCTGTGCTCATAGAGGGATGGAGCTGCAGGGGACATCTCTGGCACCAGTATGAAGGTGCAGGGCCTGGGACTGGTCCTGTCCTCTCAGAACTGGTGATGGATAGGAACCATCTGCCTCAATAATGTGTAATCCTGGACTTGTATTGCTTTTGTGTTCCCTGGCAGTGCTGGGAGGAGCTGTGGTGCTGTTCTGCATTGCACGGCAGGGAGCTGTACAACTCTGCTTGCAGGTCGGATGAACACGTGCTTTCAGAAAAGAGACCCAGCAGCCTAAAATCACACTTTTCAACTCATTTCTGTCCAATGAGCCATGACAAACACACCGACCGCTTAACGCAGGGGCAGCTGTTTCCTGGGTGAAACACAGCAGCTGTGGAAGCAGCAGAGAGCAGCAACACCCAATTCTTAGGGCTTTCACAGGAAAAGAGAGCCCTGTATTCGGAAACCTGGAAAGCAGAGAGCTCTGCAGAAGCCTAGGTCCCATTTTATGAAGTGCCTAAAAAAGCTGCCTCTGCCTTAAGGGTTGTGCAGCAGATAAGGTGGGAACTGTGAGGAAGAGAGGAGAAGTGTTGTAATGCAGGCTGGATAACTGACAGCCGCAATCAGGTCCCAGATCCGCAGAGGTATTTAAGAGTCTAATTCCCAAGTAACACAGTGGGGTTGGGAGCTTGCTGCCAAGTGGTTCTGAATGGTAATGACTTGGCCAAGATGTTATGGAAAGTTTAAAGAGCCAGGAATGAAACCTGGATCTCATCAGCAATTAAAATAATCTCAGCCTTCCTGTGTTCCTCCTCAAGGGCAGTGCCCAGGCCTGAGCATCCTCTGGGAGCATCATGCTCTGTGCTCCTCTCTGGTGAGCTCTGCTGGAAGCAGGTCTTAGAGGAAGTCAATTAAAAACCACTTGAATGTAGAAAACAAGCCAGGAGAAAAACAGTGTGAGGAACTGCGTGTATGGAGTGGGTTCTGCTGCCATACCGTGTGTGGTGAGGTCGGGTTTCTCCCCTAAAAGTGGTTGCTTATGGAAGAGCAAGGCAGCATGGCTTTTCTCCTGGCTGCACCATCACTGCTCCATGGTGTTTGGTGAGGAAACACTGGCTCTACCAGGCTGCTTCACCCTCCCAGCTACTTCATGGTCCCAGTTTCCTCTATAACCTGCTTGTTTTAGAGTTCTGGGTTTGCAGCTGCTCTTCCTAGTGCTCGAGATGTGGGTCCTGCCCTTCTGCCTCTGCTGCTCCTTGGGTTTGACACCGAGTCTGGAGTTTTCAGAGGAGGAAATCACTCCATGAAACCCCAGCCTGGTTTGGGTTGGAAGGGACCTTAAAGCTCATCCAGTTCCAACCCCTGCCACAGGCGGGGACACCTTCCACTGGAGCAGCTTGCTCCAAGCCCCTGTGTCCAACCTGGCCTTGAACACCACCAGGGATGGGGCAGCCACAGCTTCTCTGGGCACCCTGTGCCAGCGCCTCAGCACCCTCACAGGGAAGAGCTTCTGCCTAAGAGCTCAGCTCAGTCTCCCCTCTGGCAGGTTCAAGCCATTCCCCTTGGCCTGTCCCTACAGGCCCTTGTCCCAAGCCCCTCTCCAGGTTTCCTGCAGCCCCTTTAGGCACTGGAGCTGCTCTGAGGTCTCCCCTTCAGGAGCCTTCTCTTCTCCAGGCTGCCCCAGCCCAGCTCTCTCAGCCTGGCTCCAGAGCAGGGCTGCTCCAGCCCTGGCAGCATCTCTGTGCCTGAGACCAGCAAACCCTGAATCTTAGGTACTGAGTTCCAGGGCACTGGTTTCTTACCAGCAATGGGTAAGAAGTTTCTCCCTAAGCTGTGAAATCCACCTGCTAGCAAGGCAGAGCCATTGAAGCACATCCCTCGTGTATTCAGGTTTGTAGCATTTTCATGAGCTACCGGCATTAGGGGCAAAGTCTCCTGGAGCCTTTCATGCCTCCGAACACCACCTTAGCCAGGAGGCACTGGAGGGGACTTGGATCCTTTCTGGTGTGCTAGGATGATGCAGCTGAAAGGCAAAACCAGCAGCCCCAAACCCCATAACTATGAGAAAGCCTGAAAGGGGGATTCCTCCTTGTTGTGGTGGATTGGTTGTGCTGTGTGGTCTGCTCTCCTAAGTGGAGTAATGAGAGCACCTAGCTGAGGTACTACACAGGATAAAGATCTCCCTTTTCCAGCCTTGGGCTTAAACCCACACCTTGGTTTTGCCAGCGGTTCCTGGCATTCCTGGTGTTGGGTTACCAGCACCATCCCCTCCAGGGACACCTGGTGTTGACTCATGTATTGTAAATGGGACATAATTCCTGGAAACCATCCGTGGCTGCTTCAGTCAGGTTTGCAGCGTCATCTGTGGGGTTTTGTGTTACTAGAAGGGAGCAGTTTGTTTTGTGAACAAACATTTCTCCTAACCACCTCCTGCTTTCCCTTCCTTGTTCACCACGTCAGGGTTGCGTTGGCCTCTCCTTTGGCCAAGGAATCAGCTTCAGGATGCACTGGATGCCCTGGTTGAAGGATGGGAGTACTCTATCTGGAAGCTCTTCTGATAGCTGAAGGTCTGTCCTCTAGCTGCACCCCATTTTGATTAGATCAGATACATATATTGGAATGCATACATGGTTTTGATACGCTGTGCTTCTCATGGCATTGTCCATTCACTGGCTATAGCACAGCCAGTAAGGAGAGCAGTGGGAAAATCATGCTGGGTTCTCATCAGCTTGGAGAAGGAATTTTTCAGTGGAATTCTTTTGTCTGGAAAATGCCTGCCCATTGTAATGGAAACGATTCATAGGAAGAGGTTTGTTTGGACAAAATTACTGTGAAGTGTTTGTGGGGGAGGGAAGCCAGGTTGGGAATGCTGCAAACCTTCCCACTTGGGCAATTTCACAGGGATAGTATTTGAACCTGCCTTTGGAAATAACTGTGAGAGCTTAGAAGTTGAAATGAAGTGCTAATAAATTCATTAATAAATTAATGAACTAAATTAAGACAAGAAACCCCTAACAACAACAGCAACAAGGTCTGTGTGGGAACAGGCAGGTATTATTTTTCAGCCAAAGCAAATTCTGTCTCTCCCTGCACTCTGCTTGGGTGCAGAGCAGCCACTGAGTTCTTCTGAGCTCCTTCATTCCCTTCTCCAGCTGCCTATGTGTTGGGGAACCAGTGGCATCACTGGCCCTGCCTCTGCCCCCTTTGCCAATCCTTGCCTTGCGTAGAAGCTTTCCCCCCAAGTACTACACTCCCTTAGTGCCTTTGATATAAAATTACACATACAATTAAAGCCATTTCAGAACTGTTGAATCAATGCAAAAAAACAAGTGAGACAGCATATGTGATGGGGAGGGGGGAAGGATGGTGATTGAGATTGAAGCCAGAGAGGTTCAACCGCAGCATCAATGGATGCACAGCGAGCACCAGCACTGTGTTATCTGTAGGACCCTGTTGGGGTCCAGCACTGGCTGCCAGGCACACACTTGGTGAGAACAGCCTCTGCCCCAGGGGTTCCAGCAGAGTGCAGAGGACAAAGTGATGCCCTCAGGACTGAGGATGGAGGATGGCATCCCTTCCACCTGATGCTGCAGCAGCCAGGGTCCTGCACTGGCAGGGGGCTGGATCTCAGCCTGATGCAGAGAAGGTGCCTGACCACCCCTGGGCATTCCTGCCCCATACCAACCGTCCCAATTAGCTTCAAGAGGAAAAACAGCATTTAGGGCAGGCATTAAGGAGTGTCACAGTATGGCCAAGGGGCCTCGAAGCCCTTTGTCTCATACCAGGCACAGTTCACCCCTCTGCTGAAGCCAGCAGTATTGCCCTCTAATGAAGGGAGGAATTTTCCAATCCATATGCTGTTACTGCTCAGAATTACACAGCTACTGACTGAATTGGTTTCTACATTCTCTGCCTTTAAAGCTGCCATTATTACCAGCACAGCAGCTGTAATCCATAGGCAACTTGTATGGTTTAATGATAAAAACTTTGGATTGGGGACACATTATTTGTTAAGTGCTTGTCTATTAGAATCAGTGATGCTGTTTCAGCCTCTATTCCTTTGAATGTGTTTCAGCTCCCAGCTACTACAGCTGTTAGCAAAGCAAGAGGTGCCTGATGATGCAGGAAAAAACAACCTGTCACCCTTCAGAGCAGGAAACCCATTCCGTCATCCCACACCACGACTCACGTGGGAAAGAGAACTTAAAGCACAGTTACCATGAAGGAGCAGGTTGTTACAGTGAGGATGAGGTATGGTCTGTGTGAGTCCTGCAGATGGTTTTTGTATTTATATTGATGAGAGGAAAAATTAAAATGGGTCAAGGAAAAAAGATTATTGAAGAAGACAACATCCTCTGTGTTTAAATGTTGTAACTTTTGTCAAATAAGAGTAAAGTCACTTATAACAAAATGCCTCAGCATCACAAAACACAGCAGAAACACTCCTTTTGTTAACCAGGGTACAAGTTATTTCATTCCAGTGCTTCCAAATAAACTCTGTAACCCTGCTACAGCCACACTTTTCCCATCAACCTGACTCCTGCCACCCCTGAATCTAAAGGCTGAGCTTTCCCATGGCAGCTACTGCATGTTCAAGCCTCTGGCACTCCCCTTTGGTGCCCCCCATGAAGCCGGGCACCCCAAATCCACCCGCCCAGCCCCTGAGGAGCACCTCACCTCGGAACAGCATGCAGCCAAACAGCCAGAGGAGCGGATGGACGGACGGAGCCAGCATCTTCTCTGTGGCTTGTGGCTGTGCAGCCCTGCTGAGGCTCTGTCCATCCCGGGAGGGACAAGAGGGTGAGGAGCGATTTGCCTGCCTGGGCTGACTCTCACAGAACTTCCTGTTAAAGAATAGAAGGAAACGGGCTGAATCCACAGGGGAACTGTGTTTGTTAGCCCATTATGGTCGGAGAGGATGTGAGACATCGCTTGCCGATGCAAAGGAAACCTCGCCGTCAGTTGGTGGGGGGATTCAGCTCTTGCAGTGGGGAGAACAGTGGCACAGTGGGTCTGCCCTGCCTTGGGCCTTGGCAGCTGCCTTATGGTGATTGGGGTTTTTGGGAGATGCTTTGTTTGATGTCCCATACCTGTACCTCACTGTGCAGCTCCAGTGAGTCTGGGCACCTGGATGCTGGGTTTGGGATGCTGGCTCTGGGATGCTGCTTTTCAGGTATCAGCAGCATCCTTCCGTACAAGACATGCAGCACACAGCACTTTGGCTTATCCTAATCCCTGTTCCTTGCCAAGAGGCGAAACTGGGAAACTGGGCCATTTCTGCCCCCCATCCAGCCTAAGGGATTTGGGGCATTTGGTTTCTTATCCCCAACCTTGCAATGCACTTGTCTGTGCACATCCTGTTTATCCCCTGCTGGCATAGGTTGAACTTCAGAGGTAAACAGGTTTGCCCTGGGTTAGATGTAAATGGATGTCTGGGGGGAGGAGAAGGGTCTTGGTGTCCCCATGTGGGAAAGGTGCCTGTGTCCACCTGGCTTGGAGGGTCTGTGCAGGCGTTGAGGATGCAAATCCACAGCACTCTGTCTCCTGGCCCGAGGGGCTGGTCCAGCCCCTGGAGAACTGCAGAGCCTCAGCTGAGGGCGATGGAGCTGCTCCTTTACTGCATGCAGCACATCAGGGGGGTGATCTATGCTGCTGGCAATGTCTTTGCTTGCCATGGCTGGGAGAAGGCAGCAGGAGTGAAGGGAGAGATCTGTGTCCTGTGCAGCACCTTGTATTCCTGTGGGTCTCCTCAAACACCTCCAAACCCACAAGCAAACCATCAGGCCAAAAGCAGGCAGCATCCCACAGCAGGTTTGCCTTTACAAAACCTCTGTCAGCAGCTTCCCCCATCATTTTCTCTCTCCCTGGCACAGATGTGATGCTCAGAGATTATGCTGTAGATTAAGGTTTTACTGAATCCTGAAATGAGTGCAGATTCCCAGAAGCTCTAACATGTGGGCAAATCTCTTCTGGATGCGGGGCTGAATGGGGGAAGAGGCATTTCCTGCTCCATCCTCTCCATGTGCAGGGAGGACAAAGCCAGTATATTCACCCCAGCTTGTCTGCTGAGAGCCTCCAGGTAAGAGCAGTGTTGTTTGGGGATGAAAAGGTGGGGAGACATGGTTTGTAGTGGCTGAAACACCCAAGGATCCAGCTTTTCTGCTCTGAGATGTGCTCAGGGTCACTTCAGGTGGCAGAGGACCAGGCACAGCATCCCTGGACCAGAGGGATGGTGCCTACTTGCATGCTGCTGTGCTTGAAGGCATCCCTGCAAGCTTGTGTGTGCGGAGAGATGTGTGAGCACTGCCTTGGCACTGGCTTCTGCCTGTGACCCTGAGCAGGCCCCAGTGTCCAGAGCTGCACCATGGGCTCACCCTGCTACTGGAATGGTCCTTCCACAGCAGCACCATCCCCAGGCAGAAAGACTCAACCCTGGAGCTGCGCCATCCCTGGGGGTGAGCGTCCTTCCAGCCCTGAGCGCTGTGTGGATGCTCTGTGGGGCTCTGCACAGCTCCCCTGCAGGAGGGTGCCGGGGGTTCTGAAGCACAGCTCAGGTGCAGGAGGGTGCTGTGGGTTCTGAAGCACAGCTCAGGTGCAGGAGGGTGCCGGGGTTCTGAAGCACAGCTCAGGTGCAGGAGGGTGCTGTGGGTTCTGAAGCACAGCTCAGGTGCAGGAGGGTACCGGGGTTCTGAAGCACAGCTCAGGTGCAGGAGGGTGCTGTGGGTTCTGAAGCACAGCTCAGGTGCAGGAGGGTGCTGTGGGTTCTGAAGCACAGCTCAGGGGCAGGAGGGTGCTGTGGGTTCTGAAGCACAGCTCAGGTGCAGGAGGGTGCTGTGGGTTCTGAAGCACAGCTCAGGGGCAGGAGGGTGCTGTGGGTTCTGAAGCACAGCTCAGGTGCAGGAGGGTGCTGTGGGTTCTGAAGCACAGCTCAGGTGCAGGAGGGTGCTGTGGGTTCTGAAGCACAGCTCAGGTGCAGGAGGGTACCGGGGTTCTGAAGCACAGCTCAGGTGCAGGAGGGTGCTGTGGGTTCTGAAGCACAGCTCAGGTGCAGGAGGGTGCTTGGACGTCAGGGAGGAGGGTTTCTGAAGCACAGCTCAGGTGCAGGAGGGTACCAGGGGTTCTGAAGCACAGCTCAGGTGCAGGAGGGTGCCGGGGTTCTGAAGCACAGCTCAGCAGGAGGGTGCCGGGGTTCTGAAGCACAGCTCAGGGGGGGTGCGGGGTTCTGAAGCACAGCTCAGGGGCAGGAGGGTACCGGGGGTTCTGAAGCACAGCTCAGGGGCAGGAGGGTGCTGTGGGTTCTGAAGCACAGCTCAGGTGCAGGAGGGTGCCGGGGTTCTGAAGCACAGCTCAGGTGCAGGAGGGTGCCGGGGTTCTGAAGCACAGCTCAGGTGCAGGAGGGTGCTGTGGGTTCTGAAGCACAGCTCAGGGGCAGGAGGGTACCGGGGGTTCTGAAGCACAGCTCAGGTGCAGGAGGGTGCTGTGGGTTCTGAAGCACAGCTCAGGTGCAGGAGGGTGCTGTGGGTTCTGAAGCACAGCTCAGGTGCAGGAGGGTGCCGGGGTTCTGAAGCACAGCTCAGGTGCAGGAGGGTGCCGGGGTTCTGAAGCACAGCTCAGGTGCAGGAGGGTGCTGTGGGTTCTGAAGCACAGCTCAGGTGCAGGAGGGTGCTGTGGGTTCTGAAGCACAGCTCAGGTGCAGGAGGGTGCTGTGGGTTCTGAAGCACAGCTCAGGTGCAGGAGGGTGCTGTGGGTTCTGAAGCACAGCTCAGGTGCAGGAGGGTGCTGTGGGTTCTGAAGCACAGCTCAGGTGCAGGAGGGTCTGGGTGTGGGTTCTGAAGCACAGCTCAGGTGCAGGAGGGTGCTGTGGGTTCTGAAGCACAGCTCAGGTGCAGGAGGGTGGTGGGGTTCTGAAGCACAGCTCAGGTGCAGGAGGGTGCTGTGGGTTCTGAAGCACAGCTCAGGTGCAGGAGGGTGCTGTGGGTTCTGAAGCACAGCTCAGGTGCAGGAGGGTGCCGGGGGTTCTGAGCACAGCTCAGGGGCAGGAGGGTGCTGTGGGTTCTGAAGCACAGCTCAGGTGCAGGAGGGTGCTGTGGGTTCTGAAGCACAGCTCAGGTGCAGGAGGGTGGGGGTTCTGAAGCACAGCTCAGGTGCAGGAGGGTGCTGTGGGTTCTGAAGCACAGCTCAGGTGCAGGAGGGTGCAGGGGGCTGTGGGTTCTGAAGCACAGCTCAGGTGCAGGAGGGTTGGGGTTCTGAAGCACAGCTCAGGTGCAGGAGGGTGCGGGCTGTGGGTTCTGAAGCACAGCTCAGGTGCAGGAGGGTGCTGTGGGTTCTGAAGCACAGCTCAGGTGCAGGAGGGTGCTGTGGGTTCTGAAGCACAGCTCAGGTGCAGGAGGGTGCTGTGGGTTCTGAAGCACAGCTCAGGTGCAGGAGGGGCTGGGGTTCTGAAGCACAGCTCAGGTGCAGGAGGGTGCTGTGGGTTCTGAAGCACAGCTCAGGTGCAGGAGGGTGCTGGGGTTCTGAAGCACAGCTCAGGGCAGGAGGGTTTTGCACAGCTCAGGTGCAGGAGGGTGCTGTGGGTTCTGAAGCACAGCTCAGGTGCAGGAGGGTGCTGTGGGTTCTGGGTTCTGAAGCACAGCTCAGGTGCAGGAGGGTGCCGGGGGTTCTGAAGCACAGCTCAGGTGCAGGAGGGTGCTGTGGGTTCTGAAGCACAGCTCAGGTGCAGGAGGGTGCCGGGGGTTCTGAAGCACAGCTCAGGTGCAGGAGGGTGCTGTGGGTTCTGAAGCACAGCTCAGGGTGCTGTGGGTTCTGAAGCACAGCTCAGGTGCAGGAGGGTGCTGTGGGTTCTGAAGCACAGCTCAGGTGCAGGAGGGTGCTGTGGGTTCTGAAGCACAGCTCAGGTGCAGGAGGGTGCTGTGGGTTCTGAAGCACAGCTCAGGTGCAGGAGGGTGCTGTGGGTTCTGAAGCACAGCTCAGGGGCAGGAGGGTGCCGGGGTTCTGAAGCACAGCTCAGGGTGTGGGTTCTGAAGCACAGCTCAGGTGCAGGAGGGTGCTGCTGAAGCACAGCTCAGGGGCAGGAGGGTGCTGTGGGTTCTGAAGCACAGCTCAGGTGCAGGAGGGTGCTGGGGTTCTGAAGCACAGCTCAGGTGCAGGAGGGTGCTGTGGGTTCTGAAGCACAGCTCAGGGTCGGGGTTCTGAAGCACAGCTCAGGTGCAGGAGGGTGCCGGGGTTCTGAAGCACAGCTCAGGTGCAGGAGGGTGCCGGGGTTCTGAAGCACAGCTCAGGTGCAGGAGGGTGCTGTGGGTTCTGAAGCACAGCTCAGGTGGGTGCACAGTCGGGCAGGAGGGTGCTGTGGGTTCTGAAGCACAGCTCAGGTGCAGGAGGGTACCGGGGGTTCTGAAGCACAGCTCAGGTGCAGGAGGGTGCCGGGGGTTCTGAAGCACAGCTCAGGTGCAGGAGGGTGCTGTGGGTTCTGAAGCACAGCTCAGGTGCAGGAGGGTGCTGTGGGTTCTGAAGCACAGCTCAGGTGCAGGAGGGTACCAGGGGTTCTGAAGCACAGCTCAGGTGCAGGAGGGTGCTGTGGGTTCTGAAGCACAGCTCAGGTGCAGGAGGGTGCCGGGGTTCTGAAGCACAGCTCAGGTGCAGGAGGGTGCTGTGGGTTCTGAAGCACAGCTCAGGTGCAGGAGGG